CTCATGTAATTCTATGGCACAGGCTCAAGAACTACTAATTTATCAAAACTGACTCTCATAATGAAAAATTTTGCTTTTCTGCAGGGTTTCCAGGTGGAAGAATGAAACCTAATTGGGGATCAGGATATGTATATCTTCTACAATTTAATAACTTCCTTTATACCTATACATGTATACAGTGCCTGCTGCTTATTAAACTCACATGTTAATAAACTCAGTCACTTATTATGACCATATTTTCAAGAACTAAAATAAGTACATATTAATCAATAGAAAAGTCACTGTTTTTTAAACTCATCTCCGCCACTTATAAAACTCAGATTGGCAGCATATGGATTCTTAGTGCCAAAATGTGTACATAGCAAAGCTTTTCCTAGCTCATCCATTTAACAAATTGTCGACTGTGAAATGCAGTGCTTTCATAAAACCTCTTTGATCGAAATTTTCCTATTCCCCAGTAGATACAGTTTTTAGAGTTTATTGTCTGCACTAAACTTTGGAGTGGCAGAATTGCCTTATCTCAATATAAACAATCCTAGAGGCATTGTAAATGGATAGTGTTCCTTCTCAAATAATAGCTGATAGGAGGTGGAAGTGCGACTTCTGTGTCTCATCTTTAAGGTTTCCGTATTCAGAATCTTGCTTTTGAGAGAGACAAATATCGGGTTTTAACGAAAGTTTTCTGCTACCACAAATAATGTTTGTGCAAACAGTTTGCGTTGCCGTGTTTAATCATATTTTGTCAAACGATTTTTTGCATTTGATAGAAGCACTTGCTGTAGAACAGTGTTGTTCAATTTGTCAGGGATAAATAGAAAGGGCTAGCTCATTTCTTTGTTCGACTCCTCGCCGACGCGAGCCTAATGGGGGAAATTAACAGGCAGTAATCTGACGTCACTGTGATGCCACCTGTTCTGATTTCCCGCGTTTAAAACTGTAGTTTCATTCAGCTGCGAGACGATTTTCTAGAGGTTACATATCCCAAATTAATTTTAATCATATATATATATCTGTTTTCTAATAATGTATATATTTAAAATAATTTATATAAATGTAATTTTAGTCAGTTTTTATTTTAAATTCTATATTGTAAAGTACCATTTACATAATATGGCTCTTTGCGCTGTAGTAACTTGCCGTAGCACTTACAGAAGTACGAAAGGATGAGATATTTTATTTCATGGGACCAAAGGATCCAAATGAGGTTTTGCTTTTGACGAAAGAATGGATACACAAATGTCAAAGACAAGATTCTATTAATGCGAAGAGCGGAAAAATCTGCAGCGAACATTTTCTATGCATTGTTTATGAAGATGATATGAAAAATCGCTTGTTTGGCTAGCCACAAAAAGAAACTGTTGAAATGGAATGCTGTGCCGAAAGTAAATTATGATGACAATAATAAATCGAAATTGATGATGACAATAGTAAATCAAATTTTAATGATTTTGAAATAAAACTCACAAATGAAAATATAGATATTCCTGAATGCCCTAAGTTTAAGGATAAACAAGAATGCATTGATAATTTGAAGAACAAAATAATATCCTTAGAAAATTGTGTTAAAGTATTGAAAAATAGAGAAAAGAAAAATTTTAGAATGTTTTTGTTCAGCGGCAAAGAAGGTGGACGGACATCTAGACAGAAATTGGTATCAGAAATTAAAATCTCAAATAGCGAAATTTTTTTGGGGGGGAAGGGGAACAAATCGGAGAATTTGGAAAAAATGTCTAAAGCCTGTTTTTATACAAACGCAGATTAATGTATTACTGAAAAAGAAGGAAAAAATCAGGTGGACTAGTGGAGAAATGTTTCACGTTGCATTGTCATAAGAGCCTCTGTCATCTTAAAGCTATGATTTTTGGAAAGAAAAAAAAATTCAGAAAAAAATTGGAATATCTTTACCTAGTATTAGCAAATTAAAGAAATGGGTGCGCTAAATTTTAGTGTATTCCAAGAATTCAAAGTGATGTTCTTACTCTAAAGAAGGAAAGAGGCGAATATTTGTATTCTGTAGAAAAAATATGCGTTCTCAGTTTCGACGAAACGCATAGAGATTGAAAACTCTGCTATCACTCTAAACTGGACCAAGTTCTCGGTTCTTTTCAAAATGTGCAGTTTGTTTTAATCAGATGTCTCATTTCGCACTCTGCCTCAAATTACTGAGAAACCACATTTTAGATAAAGGATTTGTTTTAGAAGATGGAACTGTTTTAAATTTTGTTATTATTAAAGAGGTTTTAAATAGAGATTGAGAAGAAATCACATTATGTCACAAACTAAAACCGAATTATTTAATGGTCAAGGAAAACGAGAGACAAAAAGTCGCTCCAGAGAAAACATTATTTTCAGAAAGTACCGCAAAAGGTATACTCCACCCCACAGGAAATCAAAAAGCATCTGACTTCTATGAGTTAATCGATAATATCTTCGGTATTATGAATAGTACCAACAAGAATAACAAGTATTTAACAAACTAATTTTGTTAAGTACTTGTTAAAGTTATTGTATCCTTTGTAACTAATTATTGATTAGATTTTGTGCTAAATTAGCATTCTAGATAAAATATAATAGTATAAAACATTAAAGTAATTGGCATAAAAAGACTTGCTTCCTTTACTTACACTTTTGAAAAATTAAATAACTGTATTGGGTACTCTGAGTAAAGCTAATTTGTCAAAATTAAGGTAACAATCTTACATACATTTATTTAATTGTAATATAGATATAAGTATAAATTACAAAATTATTTAAAAAAATTATATTGAACCGGAAGAGAATTATAACAATGTAAAATTTACAATTAGGCAAAAAAAATCAGACGTAGGTTAGCAGAAAATGTTGCCATAATATGTCATATATGTTAAAACTATGTCAATGTAAAGTTGTTTTTTTTAGTAACTTAAATAGCTGCTATTATAGTTATCTTTAGAAGCAGTATAAAAATTCTCTCAGTTCACATGCAGATAAAGAAATGATTAGAAATAAATGTTCATTAAATAAAAAACCTGCAAATAAAAATTGAAAAAAAAAAACCCACGGAACTTTATGTTAAAAAGAGTAGCACATTTTATCTATTATTTTAAAATTTAGTAAGTAATATTAAATTTTTTACTGGTTCAGTCTAAAATGCATAAAGCAGTAACATTGTCTCTTCCAAATTATAGCTATCTTTCACACACAGCTCATTTCAAACGCTGGTTCAAAATCGCTAATTTTCAAGCTGTGAATTGCATCTGCGCGCTCAGTGTCATCATGACTACGTCATCACTTCTCACTTTCTGCTTCAGAGGGAACACCTCTATGAGCTAGCCCTTCTCTTCTAAGTCCTGGCAATTTGTAAAAAATATCATTAAGTACAAGGAGTCTGAAATAGAACTTATCTTGCTACCAGATTAGAAACATCATTCACTGTTATGTTCTTAATTATCTGTTCAATAATTATTGTTTTTGAAGAAAATTTTTTGAAATAATCTCTTAAACAAGGTTGCCACGCTACCTGGGAAACCGGAAAAAATCAGGGAATTTAAATATTTTAATCAAAATCTGGAGAATGTCATATGGTGATCCCCAAAAAAGCAAGTTTTGTGCCAACGTTGGAAGCGATCACTTTATTGGCGAATTATGTATCGGATGAGTGTCATTCGGGCTGCTGGCGTAGAGCCAATTTTCGCAGCTCCAATCAGATTGTCATTTAGAAAGGCATGTTTGGTTTCCAGTAACCTCGAGAATCCTAAGACTCGCATGTGCAGTGCAGGTTGAACTAAAGAAAATACCTTCCCATTCTCGTATATAACAAAATCAGTTTAATCTTAATATACGGTACTATGGAGGCTAGAATAGCCCTCATGTACTCTGTTCTAATGTAGAACATCTATGTGAAAAAAGGTAGGTTATCAGAAAAAAGGTATGTAAATCAGTTTGCTATAGTGCCACTAGAAAGCGGAGGGGAAAACTCGCCAAGGGATTTGGCGACGCAGCCTCATGGCAAGAATTTCCCCCTTCATAGTGTGTACAGGAAATTGTGGAGCATGTGTTAAGAAGAAATGTTGACTTTCATGATAATTTATACTCGGATTTTCGTACTTTTTTTTTGCTCAAAATAACTAAAGTATCAATTAATTTACTCGCGTGGAAAAATATTTCCTTTTCCTTTAAAGTTCAACGAAATTTAAAATGCTATTCGTTTTATGTACTCTTGATAAACTTAACCTTCAAACTTCGCAATCTTCGCCGACAGATATTTCGTGCATACGCAGCTGTTTCTTCTCTATGTTGGGATAAAGCCATTCCTGTTGCAGAGAAGTTTTTTTATTTTAACAATACATATTTTTTATTCTAACCTCCATGTATGGTACACACGGGATTTGGGGACATTATGATGAGCAGTAACAACAGTTACCTTTTTTATACACATTTTTGAAGGATAAACCTTTATTAGTGATCATTATAATTAATTTACAATATTTTAAATATAAAGTAATATAAGTACAAAGTAATACTTTCTGCAAATACCCAATCTGTCTGGGAAAGAATACCTCTTAATTTGCATATTCAAAACTGAGACACTCATCTCCAGAGCTAAATGAAGAGTCACTTGAAACGTCTTCTAAATCAGCATATGAGTCCTCATACTACAAATTGTCTTCTGTACCATCCAGTGCATTACTAATGCCACACTTCTTAAGGAATTTAACCACTGTCTCAGTTTTCACAGCATCTCGCGAAACTTTGACCCATTCACAAACTACATATAAGCCACAGTATCGGCTAACCCCATTTTTCAGATATATTTTCAAAGGAAGAAAGTGTGTCTTATACACTGGCAAATGCTGTAATTACTATTTTTAGGACAAAAAAGGGAAATAATCAGATTAAAATAGTAAGCTAATGTAAATTAAAGTTTGAATTTCATTTTGCATATTTTATATGCTGTATTGATATATATAAACTTGCTATATCCATTGTTCTCATATGCCTATCCAATTTCATGTTTGTAGGCAACAATGTTACGGAAGAGTAAAATGAAAAGAAGAAACACAGAACCTGTATTAGCATCTACAACGGATAAAGCGACTCCTGATGAGTGACATTTTACTGGAAACTTTTTCTAATATCTGTTCAAAGTATAGAGATCCCTATATAGCATTCATTCCTGCAATATTTTGATTGCAGATTATTGCATAAATTTTTATTTAAAGATACATTGATATACAGAAGATGAACGGTTAAAGCAGTTAAAGTATACCATGCTAGTCGTACCTCATTGTCAAATGTGAAGTTTACAGTTTTGATCTCGTTTATTGTCTTATTTATTTATTTAGTTGTTAATTATAATTATCAACTTGAGTGTAAGTTCTTTATATATGACCTCCTCCACCTTTTTTGTTATAGTTTTTATACATTTTCACATGCGTTGAATCTTTTTTTAAAAATTTGTTTGGTAATTTGCAACTGTTTGCTGCTCATAACTGTAATTTTTTTGGGAGTGCATTGTTATATTAGATAAAGTAGATCATTATTGGATTCATAACCATATACACACCTAAATATATATAAATTGTAATTAAAACTGTTTATTGTAAATTATCAATTTTTACTGTATATTATGAATTTATACAGGTTAAGTTATAATATGCCAAACAATTTCACTAGTCAACTGCCATGTTATATTATATTGGCAGTATATTTCTCATTTTGTAAAGAACAGATGTAAATTTGCAAATTTTTTGTCTTTGTTGTGTGTAAACAATTTATATAGTTGTTTAAGTCTATTTAACTCTATTTATAAACATGTGAACCTCAGTATTGCCATGAAGTGTTAGTGTTATATTATTAAAGAGCTACTAAAAATTATGAACTTTACCTATCCTTAGATGTTTAAAATGTAGATAGCTTAGGTCAGAAACTTGTTAATATCTTTGTTTTATAGCATTTCTATCAGGTTAATGTTACTTTTTAATAATTCATTTCACATTTTGTTACATTAGTTTTGTTGGTTACATATTTTAATGTAAGTAGTATTTTGAAATGTGTGTATCTGAAATAGTTTTTTGTGATTATTTTATTAAATTTGTGTTGTTTATCATAAAATACTCTTATGCAGTTTTTGTTTTTCAAATGCTTTTAGAGGAAATCAAGCTTTATTTCTATTTAAAGAAATTCATAAGATAGTACTAGGGGTTTTATGGCTGTTGTATATTATGAGGTCAATTAATACAAAAATACAGCCATGATTATTAAAGTCTATTCCGCCCTAACATTTCCCTTGCATGAGAGCACAAATGCATATTTTTTTTTTTTCCTTTAAGGAAGGTACACCATACGAGCATCATAGCAGAAGGTACAGCGTACGAGCATCATAGCTAAATTGTCACATTACTTTTGTATGCCCATGCTGCATTGTCTTCCTTCTAGCCCTATATCTACATATGTATTTGGAACTGTTGTTACATGATTTTCCTTTTCTTTGGATTAATAAGAATCTCAAGTCTAAAATGTATTTAAAAAATCTTCGTTGCTTCTGAATTATTTTTAATCTTAAGCAACTACCATATGTCTCTATTTAGTGCTTTTCTTATCGCTTTGCTTTAACGTTTGTAAATAGGCATTTTTTGTTTTTTTATCTTTGAACCTTTGTGTTTATTTTGTTTGGGCTGAAGAAAAGTTTTTATAAATAATTTATTTCAGTTTTTATGTGAATGTTAAAATAAGAAATGCAAGTGATAATGTAAGTATATTTCCATCTGTTTATTGAAAATATGAAAAGGTTGTAAGATAAATGATAGAATAGGGAACTATCAGTTATGTAAGTTTTTGGCTATGCGACTTGAATAACTTAAAAGGGGGAGGGTAATAAAAATTTTTTGGAAATGTAGAAAAGAGTGTTTGCTAATCTTCTGCAAATAATGAAGACATGGCATTTCAAGTCTTCTCTTCCATGAAATTAGCCTTTTCTGTAGAATGTGAGAATTCTTTCTTCTATATCTATAAATATAAACCATTTCTTCCCTTGCTGTATTGTCTTAGACAATAGAATTTATTGTAATCTTGAGATTTTCAAGAATGCACTATTTTCTGTAAGTGCATTATTACTAAATATTTTGTATATTAACTTTTGTGGAATTTATTTTTTCCCTGATCGCTTTATTAATAAAAATTTTATTTCACTTATCTTTACTATTTGATTGATTATTGATATTAACTAAATTGTATCTGATAAGAAATATGAACTTAGTATGAATAGTCAGCTGAATGAATTCACTTTGAATTAACTTATAGATTCTGTCTCCTGTTTAGATGTGTATGTATCTTGGTGTATGTCGTACATTTGCATGCATACATGTATGTATGTACATACACGCTGATTATATGTGCACGTTATATACGTATGTGTGTGTATATATGTATATTTTCCGTTTGAGTCTGTACCATTTTCTTGACTCTTATTGACTTAAAACATTTTTATCTGTATAATCAGTAAAAATTATACAGATAAAAATTCTAAGAGCTGTTATTTCCTCATTCTTAAAATATATATTTTTTTAACAGAGCAAATTTAGTAAATTAATTTATTGAGAAAAGGTGTGACTCAGTTAACATGTGTGAACAATAAAAAAATCCTGTTATTTATACCATGTAAATATACAAGATCGATTATTATTATGTTATTAATCTGTTTGTTTTGAAATTGAATTGCTATATTTTTGGTCATAATATACAGACTGTTGGATATGAAGTGTAGACTTGTGTTAAAGTAAATGAAAATGTGTAATTTTTAGTTGTCCAAGACAATGCATAGCCCAGCATTACTGCAACATCTGCCAAATATATTCTGATGTGTATCACTAGTCATATTCCTCCCATCTCCAAAGAGGTCACATAATTTATTGAAAAATATATTTGTTGTGAGTCTGTAATATTGTTTTACTTTATTTAAAAGATGTGGAAGGGAAGGGATTTTGTTGTTTCTCAAGGAGACTATACATTGCATACAATCTAGTTTTAAAATATCTAGTCCATAGTTAAGTGTTTTAAAACTAGTTTGAAAGATATGTCTCCTTGATTGTTAAAGCTTGTACATTAAATATACAAAATACTGAAAACATATTTATATATCCTTCTAGTCTAAAAAATAAAATTTCTATATTTTTTTCCTGTGTATAGTTTATGACAAGCTTTTAAATTGTCTATTTATGCACAGAATTCTATGTGAAAGTAAATACTGTAAACGTGTAATGCAACAATAAATCACAAATCTTAATTTATGTTAAGACCCCCCTCCCAAAAAAAATTATAATTCAGTAATGGTTATAAAGTCTTGATGTATATGAAATCAATATCTTGTATGAAATGTATGTTTAGAATATTTTGGGTAATTTCAAATTTACTGGAATTCAGTTGGTCTGAAACTTTATGTATAACATCCTTTATATAAAAAAAAGAAATTATTTTCATTATATGTCTCTTTCTTGCTGCTTTGCCTGAAGCACTTTTTACAGGTAGAGATATTGTTTTTGTAAATGGGTAAAATTTAAAAATATGTTAGAGATCGCAGTGGTTTGCATAAATGTTAAGTAATAGTCTTGACTTGAACTGGTTTTACTCTGTATAGTTTTACCTGGTGCATACTGTTTGTTTTCTAGGTATAAAAGTATTCTCAGATTCATATAAATTACTATTTCAAATTTTTTCAGCTGTTGCTCTAAAAATTACTGTTAATAATCATTAGTTATTATATGAAAGTATTTCAAATGCATTTTTTACATTTAAAGCTTGCTTTAATGTTTATTTCTCGTTGAGTGAAATTTTCTGAATATAAAAAATATGTATGATAAAACCTTCATGATCACATACTTCAGAATGTTACCTCCTTATATAAATGCTAGGTACAGTATTTCTGTCATCTATTTTTTCAGTTTGGTGAAATGAGAAACTGAACAGTATTCATCTTTTACGTGGTTACTTATTCAAATTAACTGTCACGTTTTTCAATTGAAGTGACCTGAAATATTCTGTTCTCCCAACAGAAATATATTGAAGTAGTTTTTCATTTTTGCTGTAAATGTTGTATGTATTATATTAATTTTATTAATTAATATATTTATGTAATATATTAATTTTTAAAAATTATCATATGCAGTTTAAAATGAAGTAAAATCTTTCTTTTATTATTGTAATCCAAATTGTGTATATAAGTGCATTTTTTAAACTATGCTTTAAAGTTTGAGACGTTTGATATTTTTTTAATATGATCTGTTTGAAATTATGCAAAATCACTGCCACCCCTTTCATATTGTGTTGCAGTTTCTGTAATAACAAACATTTCACTATCTGATGAGTTATGACTTTTTAACCCTTATAAATACATTTTTTACTGAAACCTGAGCAATAAAAAAAAAAATTCTTTTCTATGTTGTCTCAGTTTCACATCTAATACATATATGTGTTCAGCGAAGAAATTTCATTTGCACAAAACATCCAAATCTGTAAAGGTGTTATTTTTTAGATATTTATTCATAATCTTAATTTTTATACCTGCTGCTGAATTAATAAGCATTTTATTCTTATAGCTTTCATTGTTTGTACTATTGTGTATGGCATGCATATGCATGCTACTAAATGACTCAAAATATGAAAAAAATTATTTTTATTGAAAACTATAGTGCTGATTTTTTCCATGAATTATGATTTTAGAAATTGCACTGATGTTAAATGACTTCTTTTTGTTTTTTCAAACAAAATTTTTCATAGTTAATACATAAGTCAATGTATCTTGAAGAAAAATATTTCATTTACTGCCTTCATATCATGGTATATTTTGAAAGGCCTGTTAGAATTGTAAATTTGGAAGAATGATGCAAACACATGTTAAGGAAAAGATTTAGTGGCTCAACATGAGGTTAATGAATAAATTTGAAACATAATTTTTTAACTTCAAATTCACACAAGTGTTCAAATTTTCACAGAAAACCTCTTCCTCTAATTCTAGATAATCAAATCTACCTATTCTGAACAACATCATAACGTTTGTTTAATGTTTTGAATACCATATTCCTTCAGAAAAATGTGCTTTGGTTGAGCCCAGCGGCGATTGTGCACAAAATTAAACTTGGATAGTTTTTTTATTTTCCAAGCTGAAGTAATATATATTGATTTCTTTTATTTGATTCTAGCTTCATTTGTTTGGAAGAGCTATCAGAACCAAGCTATCTTAGAACATCCTGTGTAAAAATTTCTTATAAGGAAATTTTTCATGTATTTTGCCATTTTGAAGGAGTTTGATTTGATTGCAGTATTTTCGTGGTTTTATATTCATTATATATAGTCTGACAACTTCTGTTACCAAGTTTAGAAATTTTTGAGGAAATTGTGCAATTTTTTTAAATATGTCTGTCTATTCCTAATTTTAAGTTCTTTGAAAATGTGAGTTAATTGTACAAGTATTTTGTTCTAAAATAATCTTGACTGTTGCATCTGCATAATTTTCGAAGGCAGTAAAATGTGATAAATATCAGTTTTAAAACAATAATGAAGATACTGACATTTGTAATGAATTTCATTTAATATATAAAATATTTCAGATCATTCATGACAGAGTGAAGTTTTTTATTTGGTAATTAAAATGAAACAGTTGTGAGAAGCATTTATTATTTAAGTGTGTTAATAAAAAGTCACATCTGTTATTTTGTTCCATGGAAACATTTTATGAAAGAAAAGCAGATATTCTACAGATTGAAAGAATAAGTTCTCTGGAATGCCATTCCTAATTTAAAATGTAATTAATTTTTCTGTATTGAAAAATTTCACCTTTCATGAAATTAGTAGCATATTAAGGATTCTCCATTTCATATTTAAATTTCAAGAAAGATTTTCAGAGCTCTTTCTTTTCATCTTGAACTTTTATCTGTAGTCAATGAGCAACATTTCTTCTAACGATCAGTAACTTCTGTGATACAGTTTTCTTTTGGAATCCAAGTGCAGACATCTCTTGACATATGACAAAACTGGCATTAAAGACAGTAAAAAGACTGTAGCTACGTCCTTGAAGTGTTACAAGTTGCAGACATCGAGAAATGCAGTGTGAATTTTTGGGGTTTCCAGAATTGGAATTGAAGTTTTATGAATCCCACATGTTTCATTTTCTCGTTCTATCACTTACTGTTGCATATAACCTGGCAAACTTGCCGGAAATATGACGGGTGAAATGAACCAATTGGTGAGCTCTGATTATCATGCCAAAATGCGATTGCCTCATTCATTCATTTTGATAACAGCAATAGTTAGTGTATATCTCTCATCTCTTTGAATTGATTTTGACATAAAAGTGATGCAATTTACATTCCAGAGGGTGTCTGGTCATTTATAGTAGTATGATATATAAAACAAGGCTCTAATTTCTTTCAAAGGTAGATGCATTTCTTCTAGCATATTTCAATTATAGTTTAAAATTTTTACAAAATAAAGGCACCGAATTACATCAAAATTCATGAATGTGTGCCAATGCTAGGGAATTAAGTTGTGAATTTTAGAATGTGACATTTGTGTTGTAAGGATGTAATGTTGTTATACTTTTATTTAGAAAGATTAGTTTTTAATTATATCTTTCATTCAAGCTTAACATAACAATGGGCAATAATTTTACTGGAACAGGCAGAAGGTTTGAAGAAAATTTTCTCACTATAAAAGATGTAATATAGTTTCTTATTCCAGTACTGCTATTTAGGCATGGTTCTGTGAATGCAACAGATTGTCAAAACGAAGCAATAATTGAATGAAATAATTGTATAGCATGATGAACAAAAATAAATTTACTGTAAAATAAACTAAGATTTTTGTAAATAAGTAGCAAATTGGCATCAAGCCAATTTGATTAAATAAATGTTGGCATCAAGCTGCAAAATAAAGCATTTATTAAATAATGTAATTAGCAATATATTTTGATTTTAAAAAATAAGTGAAATGTTAAATTTTATATCTTTAAAATTCAGATAATGCACATTCCAGAACCACTAAATTAGAAAAGGTATCTACAGAATGGTTTGTGTGTGGTTGTAGAGGTCAGTCAAAAATACTGTTGCACTCCTATGAGAGAAACAGCATATGAAGCATGTAATAGCTACCTTTATTTGTGTGTTTATTGCATGAAATACAGTACAACGTCTTTAATCCGGGCTTCAGCGATTCTGGATTAGGGGTTTTTCCGGATTATAGATCAATTTAAATCTGGTAAGATGTCATGCAAAAATTATACAATTAAAAATATGAAACCGTAATTTATGAAATAAAGAGCAATTATGATCTAAAGGGTATCAAAGTTTACAAAAAATAAGCTTAATATTTATTTGTTTACTTTATTAAACATTTCTTTCAATGCGCGCATGAGTAAAGCATACATTACGTATAGTCGAAATTAGAAAATTGCAACCAGAAAACTATTTTATGTGTATTCGTGATATTTATAATGACGAGGAAATTGATTTAAATCATATCGAAGTACATCGAGATGAAACACTACATTTAGTAAGGAATTATAAGCCGAATAAAATAAAAACATCTGCCCTGAAGATGAGGAGAGTGCCGACAGATCAACTTCCAGTTGATTGCGTGCCGCGTCGTGGTCCCGCCCGCAGAGCACCGCGAAATTGATAAACAGATTTCGGAATGGTTAGAGAAACAAATCACCACTCTGTCACTTTCTTTATGTAGATCCTTTGGCAGCTCCAGAATCGGAAACTCTTTTTGACATAATCGAAAGTTCAAGCTTGCGTTTCATAAAATTGCTCTAACAGTCTGCAAAAAATAATAAGCCGGATCCAATTAGAAGATTAAGGAACAGCGCAGTCTGCAACATTAACTGAAATAGATAATTTTAGCTTAGCTTATACATTAGTATAATACATTAAACGAGCATGCGTAAACATAGTATGTGCAGAAGGTTTGTAGCTTTGAGGTCTGGATTATGGACATCTGGATTAAAGACTTTATACTGTATTAAGTTCTTGTTTTTCTGGAAAAAAAGAGTAGAGACTAAGGAATTTTTATTGATTTTTAATATAAATCTCCATTAATGAACAACAATTAGACGAAATTAATATGCTGAAATAAGTTACTAATTTAATAATCAAGTATATGGAATAAAATGTTGGATTTAAAATTTCATTTCGACTGCACAGTTGGTAAAATGCATAATTTAGACCAGGGATTACCAACGTTCAAGGACAATGAGAGCCGCATGATAGATTATATGAACGTTCAAGAGCCATGAACATTGATTATATGTATATATAGTAATGGCCAAAATTGTGGACACTTTTAGAAATTTTTATGTTTTTGAACTTTGTATGCTTATAGAAAATGTTACGTTTCACAAAATGCAAACTTGTATATATCATTTTAAAGAGAATTTATTACTGAATTCAATACAAAATTCAATTATGTGCAATACAAAAAAAGTTAAACGATAATAGTTATCGATATACATTAGATAGTGATGATTGCAGTGAGTTATCAATACTTAGTAGGGTAACCTTTATTTTTGATTACAGCTTCACATCGACGTTTCATTGAGCTGACAAGAGTTTTAAGCTCTTCTTTCGTTATTACATGATGCCAGGAAACAATTATAGCCTCAATTAGTTCCCTTTTATTTGATGGGCGCCTCATTCGGACAAGAGTTTTCAAACGGTGCCACAAATTTTCGATAGGATTGAGGTCAGGACTGTTTCCTGGCCATGACAACAATTTAATGCTCTTTGTACGAAACCACTCTTTCGATATTTTGGCCATGTGGCAAGGAGCAGAATCCTGCTGAAAAATAAACGAAGCATTGTTGGGAAAGAGATCTCTGATGGAAGGTAGAAGTTTTGGTTCTAGAATAGTGTCAATGTATTTTCTGGCATTCAGTGTCCCATCGATGACATGAAGGCGACCAACCATCTGCTGACATGCATGACCAAATCATAACACTAACTGGGTTCTTCACAGTTGCTTGAATGCAGTCAGGATGTAGCTCTTCTCCTATTCTACGTCTTACATATTTTCGCCCATCACTACCGAATAACGATATCTTAGTTTATCACTCCATATAACTTGTGACCACTTATCATCTGTCCAATTAATGTGTTCCTTTGCCCCACTGTAGTTTTTTTTTTTTTTTTTTTTCGTTGCTGAAAATAAAGATAAGGCTTTTTTCGTGGAATTCTACTCTCTCTCATTGTTCTTGAACTGACAGAAACACCAGCATCATTCAGATCACTTCTGATGGCCGCTGATGACATTTTTCTATCTTGGAGACATAGTCTTTTTATTCTTCTGTCATTTTTTTTTTTTTTTTTTTTTTTTTTTTTTTTTTTCCATCAATAGATTGTGGTACACCTTTTTCGGCCTTTTCCTTCTTTGTTTTTTATTGAATTTGTCTCCTGATATCGTAAACAAAACGTTCGGACTCCAGATGTAGTCACTGAACCACCCACCTGTCTTGCAATTTCAGCATAGGAAAGACCACTTTCTCGTAACACAATAATATTACATCTCTTTCTAGGTGTCCAATCTACTCTTTTATTTGATGTCATTGCTTCTTGACTAAATATTAAATTTTTTTTACAAAAATTCCTACTTGTAATTGCAGTGTATAAGAAACAGGTCCTCCTTCTACAGAACAAAGCAAAATAATGAATTGTTTCAAGTGTAAACATGATGTCAGCTTCTACTGGCAGTTACTAACATTTGATTGGTGGTTCTCAGAACAAGAACAGTGATTGCCCAGGAAAGCTACACATTACAAACCACTTCATAACTTTGTTTTTTATTTATGTTAAAGTACATATAACTTTTTTTGTATTGCAAATAATTGAATTTTGTGTTTTGTATTGAATTCAGTAATAAATTCTCTTTAAAATGATATATACAAGTTTGCATTTTGAGAAACGTAACATTTTCTAGAAGCATACAAAGTTCAAAAACAATTTCCAAAAGTGTCCACAATTTTGGCCACCACTGTAAATATGAATAAAAAATCTTATATCTACTGTTTGAATTTAACAAATATTCTCTATTTGTATAAAGCAAATATAAAATTCAATTAAAGAATTTTAATTGCAAAAAAATAAAAGTAATTATTGCTGCGAACTAATTTACAATATCATTTAAATTCTAAGAGCATATGTAAATTAATTGCACTTGTATCTAAAACCATGAAAAAAATGTATTCCAAAAAATTAAATTAATTTATTCCTAAAAATTGCATAAGTGAATAATTGATGAGCAGGCAGGAGACAGACTTATCAAGGGGAAATTGCCCCCAAACCTAACTCTTCAATTACTCAATTCGTACTAATTCACAAGTCAAACAACAAAAATCAGCGTAAATTTTCACAGCTGTGAAAATTTTGAAAATTAACGCTGATTTTTGTTGTTTGACTTGTGAATTAGTACTTGTTCGGCGTGTTATTGTGTCTTAATTACTCAATTCGTGTTTCGTCATCCGCATAGGCAAGGGTAAAAAAATTCAAAATTCAAATCGAATGTTGTGAATTACAAAAAAGGAAATTTAAACAGTGGAATTTTGAGAAAATAGCAAGTAAATCAGAA